TACATATATGTGTCTAGACCAAGAAAATAAATTTATATATGAGTCTAGACATAAAATTTAGCATTCAGTGTCAGATTTTCACAGGTGTTTTTATTGAACAAGTAAGCTACTCTGTAGGAAAATTAGGACCCCTAGACTCTGAAACTTATTCTTGGAAAAACTGTGTATCCATGGATGCCTAAATTAAGATTTTTTAACAAAATGATGCATTAACAGTGGAAAATTGATAAGAAGATTATTAAATAGAGCATCATTTAAAATGTTGTGTTGACAAGCAAGCAAAATAAAAACAAAGGCCCTGAAATAGAGAACAGGGGGACAGTGACCAGAGGGGAGAGGGGAGAGAATCTCAGGGGAAAAAGGGGATTTACAGGAACTAGTATAAAGGACACATGGACAACAACTAAGGGGGTGGAAATGGGAGGGAGGTAGGGAGCACTGGGGGTGAGGGCTGGGATGGGAGTAAAAGACAGAAAACTGTACTTGAACAATAATTAAATTTAAAAAGTTTAAAAAAAAGAAAAAGAAAAAAATGTTGTTTTGAAATTCTGTAAGTCTATAAAAGGGTTGAAGGTAAACAAACTATGTTACAGTAGAGACTCTGTTAAAATCCCAAAGTTCCATGGGGAACACTTTTCACTTTGCTAATGTTTCTGTAGTAATTCATGGTTGTATGAATATAGTTATGTAACTGTGTCTGGAACTCTGGTCATCACCCATTTAAATTCTATAGATCTTATTGAAGAAAACTATAGATATTTTTCTCACTAAAATGTTCTGATTTATTTATGTAGAAGAGGTAGATATTAAGATATCGCATTAGCTCCCTTACCTTATAGTCATCATTTTTATGCAAGTCTTTACCTTTTCAGGTAAATAAATAGAACATCTAAAATTTATTCTATCAATGACAATTGCAATTTTCTATTTTTGGAAATTGACATCTGAGATTGTATTAGTTCAGGTATACAACATCATGATTTGCTCTTAGTGTATGTTCAGAATAATCACTACACTAAAGTCTAGTTAACTTCTATTATCATACATGTAGTTTTCTGTTGGAGGTTAATTCAGATTTTGTAATTTGTTTCTTTCTGAGTTCAAAGGTTTTTTTTATTGATGGGTTTCAAATTTATATATTTTACAGTGCCTTTTGAGTTGTTGAAGACCAAGTAAGTGTATAATGGGACTAGTACAGAAAATAGAGTGATTCTTAATGTCTATTATTGTATTATTGAGAGAATATTAAATTATTATTAACCTGGAATGTTAGGATATGTTATTTTTTGCAAAGATAATGGTAAGTTAATTCTGTATTCAAAGGAAAATAGAATGATCAAAATCATAAAATATACAGTTCAGTTTTCTTTGGAGGCTAATATGAAGTTAAAATTTGATGTGATTTACAAATAATTGACCTTCAACTTCAATTCATACAAAGGTTTTCTTTTCACCTCAAGCTCAGTGGCAATGCTGTATTTCTTGATGTTGTGGGAGGTATACAGATTCTTTTTCCCCAGTGAGGCTGAAGGCACACATTTTTAAAATATTTTATTTATTTATTTAGAGGTGAAGGGAAGGAGAAAGAAAGGGAGAGAAACATCAGTGTGCGGTTGCCTCTCACATGTCCCCTATTGGGGACCTGGCCTGCAACCCAGGCACGTGCTCTGACTGGGACTTGAACCAGCGACCCTTTGCTTCATAGGCCCGTGTTCAATCCACTGAGCTACACTAGCCAGGGCATGAAGGCACATTTTTATAATAACCAATATAAGATAGGCAATTAGCCTTGATAAATATATATTGTAAGGATAGATTTGTCCTCATTGGTTTCTATTTGACCTTACATTTACAATCAAGGAAATGTTAACTGTGGTTGGATTAGATGAATTAAATGAAATTCTAATTTAACTTCCATATGTATTTCTGACTGTAGAATGAGCACTGTCTGAATCCGAGTCACTTTACAATGTAAGCAGTGTAGAGAAACTCAAGTATTCTGGAGCGTAATACTTAGCCAATAATGACTAGGTAAATTCTGTGTGGTGTGAGCTGGGAGACTGAAAATAGACAGCCCTGACTGGTGTGGCTCAGTGGCTTGGGCATCATTCTGCAAACCGAAAGTTCACTGGCTCAATTCCCTAAGAGGGCAAAGTCCTGGGTTGTGGGACAGGTCTCTGGCTGGGGGCGTGTGAGAGGCAGCTGATCAATAGTTGTCTCACAAATTCATGTTTCTCTCCCTCTGTTTCTCCCTTCTTTCCCCTCTCTCTAATAATTAATAAGTCAAATCTTAAAAATAAACAGAAAATATACATCACCAATTCTTTTACATCTTCTATCTTAAGAAGTGTGGTGTAATATTCCTTGCAGAATTTTCTACTGTCTTCATAGGTTTTCAATTCACATGAAAAATAATAACACTTCTCTCTACTGCATGCCCATTTCTTCTCACATGTGTTGTTCTTACTTCCTTGAAAAGAAAAAATATTCCCAGAACAGTGTGTATCCTAAAAGTCTGAGGATGAGACACAGAAATTTTTCCTAGTCTTTCTAAAAACATGTATTTGATGAGATAGACGAGTTTCATTTCAGCTTTTTTTCCCCATTTTTAAAAAAATTATTTATTTTTTATTGATTATGCCATTACAGTTGTTCTATTTCCCCCTTCATTCCCCTCCACCCTACCCACCCGTCCCCACCATTACCCCCCTTTTAGTTTATGACCATGTATCTCAAGTCCTTTAGATTCTATATTTCCCATGCTATTCTTGTCCCCCCTTCTATTTTCTATCTACTGTCTATGCTACTTATTTTCTGTACCTTCTCCCCCCTTCTCCTCCTCCCACTCCCCTGTTGCTAACCCTCCTTGAGATCTTCATTTCTATGTTTCCACTCCTGATCTAGCTGTCCTTTTACAGCTTTCTAAATAAAATTTAATGCCCGGGAAGAGTTATATTACTTAAAATATTCACCGAGTTCATGCATAATATTTTAAAAATTATCTAAGAAGAATTTCTAAGAAGATTGACATTTTCCCTACAACATCAACAACAAAGACTTGACAATGAACAGCAACTTCTTTGAATTCTCTAGACAGAGAATAGAGAATTCTGGAGTACCTCTGGATTTTACCCATATTGAGAGGTGTAGTAACGATTAGAAAATCTTTTAATGAGACTTTGATGTTTTATTTGTTTACTTGTTTTTCTTTAGGAAATGTATTATTTTGAGAACTGGTAACTAACTTGGAAAAATATAATATTGTACAAACAATAAAATCTAATCTCCAGGAAAGGTAGATTTTTTTGATCAAATAAGTAAAAATTAAATTTGGATCCCGCAGTTATTTATGCATAAAAAATCCTATTTGAACAGGATATCAGGTGACTGAGTAAAGCAGGGAAGAGACTTCTTGGTCTCAGTCTTCAAGTTATTTATCTGCATACCTGTGTTAAGTGGTTCCTCTGTGAAAGTTATGTTTTTCAACATGGAATTGTCTTCCTGTGTAACGTTGTTCAGTAGTGGTTTCTGTGGTTGACATTTATGATGACCCTGGAAAACTTTACTGGACATCATTAGCTCAAGGAGAACATAACATGGGACTGAATATTACATACAGTTTTATTGATGTGTTAATGTATTATATTTAAACTAATATTAATTTATTATTAATATTAATTTTAATATGTTAGTTCATGTTCAGGAGGAAGGGCCATTTTTATTTCCATCCACTTCAGGCTTCTCAACATATGATTTACACACTTATATATCATTTGTTCAAAAAACATTAGTTAATGACTACACATCTCAGTGGACCTTGGATACAACAATGAAAAATGAGAAGGTTCTGTTCTAGAGGAGCTCACTCGGTGTGATGGGAAGATTGTGGGGCACTACATGATGGGGGACACAAGTAATGAAGTGTTGCTGCTGAACCCAGCAGAGATCAGCTGGCAAGGTGAGCTCTAAAATAGTGTGACACACCAGCAAGATTTCAAATTTACAAACTTTAGTGCATTAAATGTTAACCTCAAAAGAGTGAAAAGATAACCAAATGGATGGAAGAAAACATTTGAAAATTTATTATCTGATAAGAATAATGTACACTATATTCTATCCACACCATACAATAGAATATTTTTGGATGCTTAAAGCAAGGCCATACTGATACATTCCATCATCCAAGAACCTTGGAAATCTTATGTTAATTGAAATAACCCACTCTGAAAAGATAATTTATTATATGACTGCATTTTGTAAGATGTTCAGAATAGGAAAATGAAGGGAGATAGAAGGTAGATTAGTGATTGTTTCAGGCTGCCTAATTTGAAAGGAAATGGGAAACAAGTGCTAATAAATCTAAGGTGGCTTTCTGGGGGGGATAAAAATGTTCTATATTGATTACAGCTATGATTTTACAATTTGAATATATTAGAAGCCATTGAATATTACTCTGTACATAGATGAATTCTATAGGTGAATTATATGTCAATAAATTTCAAATACACACACACAAATCAAAGAGCTTGATTTGCAAACCAGGAACCTAAGAGTCAAGGCCATTAAACAGGATGGTGCTCTTTAGAAAATATACACAGAGAATTATATACACTGTATAGGACTAGAACCGCCTTTAATGCAAGACTTGTTGGTGAGTCATTGTTGAGTCACTCACAGTGTCTAACACGAAAGCAAAATGATCCAGAGCAGCGGTTCTCAACGGGGGATAATTCTACCCTCCAGGGTGCATTGGCCATATCTGGAGGCATTTTAGATGTAACTACTCCCCTCTAGTGAGTAGAGGACAAGGATGCTGCTAATATCCTATGACTCACATACAGCATCCCTAACAAAGAGTTACCCCACCAAAATGTCAATAGTGCTGAGGTTCAGACACCCTAATCCAGCATAAAAATGACAAAATGAAAATAAGAAAAGGTGAACAAAATGAGTCTTTGAAAGTGAGAATTAACACTTGGTTAGGTAATTAGGTACTAATCATGGAGGATTTAGAAAAGTCTTCAATATTTAATAAAATGGGTTTGAGGAGTCGGTATGATCTTCGCTGGCAGAGGCAGGCTGCAGGCGGAGGGCAGTCCTGGAGATGGGAACAGTGTACAGACAGAGATGCTGGGACAGAGAAACTTAGAGAAGGTGAGGGAAGAGCACAGGAACTAGAGTTACTTGAAACTCAAGATAGGAGCGTTTAAACTGGAAATCATTTGACTGACAAAGATTAAAATTATGAAAGCAAGTATAAATAATGGAGTTTTACCATAATTCAGGAGAGAATGAAATATCTAATGATTTCTTGGCATTTGGATACATGGTCAGAGATATTTGGAGAAGAGTATTTTGAAGTCTGTGGACTTCAGGATAATTTAAGAGGCAATTTCAAAAGTATAGAGAAAATATATTGTTATGTTGTAGTAGGTGTTTACACGAATAAACCATTTACAAAGTAAATTTGAGCTGCGCACTAAAGATTCAATGGGGGAAACCAAGGAGGCTTGACAGCTTATTGTAAGAAGGCACCAGAGAGGAGAGTGAAAATGAATGTGTACACAGCATGATCGACCATCACAAACACCCCAAGAGAGCTTTCCTGATAATATCCTGAATATGATCCAGTATTTATGAGTAAAGAAGAAATCAAAAGTTTTCAAGAACTTTCAAATGGCCAAGTGATTACTTTAGTGGGGAAGGTGGAAGGGTTTCTTGTATAGAAGTGGTGATCATAAGAGTGGAACTAGAAGGACAGAAATACTAGTAGAGAAGCAAGTCCTAGGGGACTAGGTACACAGTTCAGGGCACAGGGTTGGTTGAACTTACCCATGAGTCCCAAAATTCCAGTTGTAACAAGGAGAAAGAAACAGAAGATTCCAAGAATCACTACAGTGAGACACCAGATAAAAGGAACTGAAGACGCTGCCCAGAGAGAAAAAAGAGAGATTGAGTAACTCAGCAAGGACAAGACTGAATTTAAACACAGAGTTCAGAGGGACACTTTTAAGAAACTCAAGATCCTATGTCTTGGATGTGTTCAAACTTGGAATTATTAATTGGGTGTGGTACTGAACAGTTTGAAACAACAATGCATGGATTATTGGATGTCTGCATTCTGCTCCTTCTTCTGTTTGTTGTGCTTCTCTTAGGAATGTCACATGTTCTAACTTGACGAAAATTATCCCCTGCATCATCTAAATGATTTATGAATATAAAGTGGAATATTAGACATATAGACTCCATTTTAAAACTACAAATACACTTCTAAAATATATCTGTATACATCACTTTTATTGATCAACTACCAGAATATATTTCTTATTTTGGTAATATCAAAAGTTTGTAAACATATAACAATGTTCTCTTTGGAGCCTTCCTTACTAGTGTTATTTAATATTAGGATTATCCTCACCAACTGCACAGAAGAAATTATAATAAAAAACATGTATCAAATAATGTTCATCATATACTGTTTCTTGCAACTTTGTAGAGTGAGTGATAGTGACATCAGGAGATTCACAATTGTTTCCAAACAAGTTGAAGATAAATAAGTTTCCCACCTGACTTGCTCAGTTACGCACATGCATACACAGCACCCAGACTACATTAATTGCCTGGAGTCTACTCTACGTGGATATTCAGTTTTCCACACTGCTTTTCTGAAGGAGTATAGATATAGAATATGGTTTAAAAAGCCTCATGCAACTGGGCAGGCTCACTCAGTTACACCGAGCAGTGGTTTGTGACAGGTGAATTACATTCACACAATTAGAGGACATGTAAGCTGGGCCCTCTACGTCAATTTTACCTTTTCCTTTGGGTGATTTACTCCTCGTTCTCGTTGTCTGACTGGATATTGAAGTCGATTTGTTCACTTCTGAGTAAACTACTGACTCTTCCATCTCTGGAGATTGAAAGAGAGATGTGGTCATTGCTTTGTATTCACACTATTCTCACAAACAAGGAGGTTATTAAGATGTGTGAAGGTGGTTGACTAAGATTTTTCCAAATAAAAACATCTATGTAATTGTTTTCTTCCTATTAGGTAAAGTCCATCAGGTAAATCTTTGAAATGGTAAAATCCTGAACAGATGTTAGACATAAAGTGTCATGTGCTAGATTATGAAGAAAATCTTTGGCAAAGTTATTTAATAATAAAGAGAAAATAATGACAATTCAATAGGGATTGGGAAAAATACTCACTTTCTTTCTGCATGTGCTTTTTGGAAGGAAGGTGTTTCAAATATACGTATGTTGTATTTTTTTCATTCATTTCTGAAAATTTTTGAGGTACAGTTCTAAAAGACAGGAATTGTCAGTTTTTTAAATTAGTTTTCAGTTTCTGTCATTTCTAGGTTGTCCCTGTATAATTAAAATCAGTATTTCATACCATTTAACTACTGATGAATGATTTTACTTTTGCAATATTTTTTCAGGGGATATTCTTCCCTTTGATTATTTTCTTTCCCCTTCTCAAAATGATCAGTTACCATTTTTCTTACCATACTTGAGTATTATCATTTCACCAACTATGCCTGGACTTACCCAATTACAATATTTAATTTATTGTAGAAGGTTAACATGGATATGGTCAATAAAATATATATAAAACATTAAACAATTTTTCCTATCCTCCAAAATTTCAAGAAAAATGTTATGAGTCATCTATATTTTAAAAATATATTGTGTTACATGGTGTTATTAGCAAATATCTCCATGATCTCTCCTAATATCTTTTTCTATTTATCTTTACTTTTTATTAATGATTCATAGACAATTTGATTCCTATAATTGGTTAAGAGATTGTTGTCATCTCTCCCGATGTACTATGAAAAATGAATGTCTTACAGTTAGGACACAGGTTGACTGAGCCGTACTCCCATGGGGTGAGTCCATAATATTGGAAGGCGTGGGCTCAAGTCAACTAATCTTATTTGAAACTTTGTCAATGTTAAAAATGTAATTAATTTGTTTCAAGTATTTAAAAATGATCTCAGTAATCAACTAAGAAATGTATAGAAATAAAATTGTGTTTACTGAAAAGAATTCAAATTCTTATTCTCACTAGTTTCCCAGTGTACCAGGAACTTGAACACGTTTCACTTGGTTTTATTTTCTCAGCATTATGCTTCCCTTATCTTTTATGATGTGACTAAAAATATATAGGACTCTGTGTGTTCATAATATCCACTATGCCATTCGATCATTTGCCACAAGATAACATCTCATAAGAAAATGTGATTTACAGACATACATTTCTAATGCCTTTAAAAATTTTTACCAAGTCTGGACTATATCAGTAATGTGAACAAACATCACATAAATTAGCAAAGTCCAGAGGTAGATGTGAAATACAAAGACATCTTAGTATATAGGCAAGATAAATGAATAATTAATTAAACATTTACTTAATTTCTCATATCCTGTCCTCTTTGATATGACCATTTACTCTATTGATGCATTTGGTTAATTCAACAGATATAACAGGAAACTATCAGTTATATTCCATGTTAAACTAGGAACACTGAATATAGAAGGTTAATTCACTTGAAAAGTAATTTTTGAACTTTAACGGTTCAGCTCATTTGCCTACAAGATTGAATGTATTGGTTATTAAAAAAAAGAATTTATTCTCTGTGCTCTGTATAGGCAATCAAGTGGCAGGAATAATAATGATATGGGCTGAGAGCCACAACCATAGATCTAGTTGGCGATACCTGTGTCAGTGCAGTAGAGTTTTCCCTCCAGTGGAGTCTGGTCCAAATAGAAAGGTGAGCCTCTGTGGGTGGATGGACTAGATGTGCATCTTCTGGAGAAGTTGATCCTTCTGGGCTCCCTATGTTATCTGCCCTTGTTTCTCAAGAGCCTTCAGTAGTGCTCAGCTGCATATGAAGACATGAGAAAACAGTTCGCATTTAAGCCTCAGGTTTCACTATCTGCATCCTTTATCACAGAGACATTGGTTCCTTTCTGTCTTTTTTTTTTTTTAACAGAGATGAGTGAGAAACATAATTTAAAGGCCCATGCTAATTTTGCACAGAATATAAAGTAAGCCTTAGCAAAAAAAGACCACTATTACCACTGATGACCACTGACAAAGAGTACATAAGACTCTAAATATATTCTGTATAACAGACACTAATGTTTTGTGCTCCAAAAGAAAATAATACCTAATGAAAAATTTACATTCATCTTGTAATCTACTATAATATCAGTTGCATGAAAATACATAAACATTAACAGAGTATACATATTTATCTGAATGAGAGTTTGATTAGTAAAGTTTTATGGCCTAAATTGTATCGGAGTGAGAGCCACTCAATCTCTGGTTGTTTAACAATCCATCTAAATTCAGTGGTTTTATTCTTTGAAGCATTTTTCTACAAAAGTTTTACAGTCTGTTTTTCTGTACATTCCAGCATAAATAGGGTATACTCTGACAAAACTTTAGGTTTTGCTGAGTTTGGGTTCCCTTCCCCTGTACTCAGCACTGTAATTATAAAATACAGAAATGTGTTAGCTCCCTCCTTAGTGGTCTGATGCGGCACAGCCCACGGTGCACTGGCGAAACAATGACAATGCAGTTGAAAGATATGGATCCTCACTCAGGAGAAAAGGGTGGAAATAGTTTTATGTGTTTCCACCATTTAACAGTAAAAGCACAGTAAAAATACCTTTCAATTGTGGATTTGATGTATGTGAAAAACTCTTGGGTGTTATACATTTGCAAAAAACTTTTCATGGAGGTCCAGAATGGAGAAATGATGACTAAAGGCACGAGATTTTTGTATAAGAACAACTTTTTATGGAAATGATCAGACATAATAAATGTAATAGAAGAACAGCCATCAGTAGTCTGTGAAAGAGGAATGATTTTTTATATTCTAGGTACTTGTCCTTTTTGGCTTTGTAATAGCCATTTCTCCTTTTTGTTCTTCTCTCCCCAACTGCTGTAGACTTCATCCAAACAGCCCACTGGCAAGCTCAGCACTCAATGGCATTGTGATTGGATTATTAGACCTTGAAATTATTTGCTTAGACCTTAACTTCTCACACTTGCAAGTCCTTCTGATGATTTTTTCCCTAATACTACTTTTTCCAGTTAATTAGAAAGTCAAGAGTCTGACTCACTTCTTCACCATTTTTTC